TGTGTTACTTCTCTCTCATCGAGCGGACAAGGCAAAGGAGTATGTGGACAGAGCAAGTAAAATGAAACCCATGAATATCAATGTATTATTTATCAAAGGATGGCTGGAGCTCAGTTTGAGATCAGGCACAGATGTTCAAGAGGCAGGAAATTCCTTTGATTTCATCTTAAAGGAAGAACCAAGAAACTTGGGTGCATTATTAGGCTCCGCAGAGACGAAACGACGCATCGGAGACTATCCAGGCGCCGTCTTGATCCTGAACTCCTTGATCGTGCGCTATCCCAAGCAACCGCTTCCGTTGATAGAAAAAATGAAATGCCTATTGGCAGCGAAGGATTGGGAACAGGTGCTGGAGATGGTAAACCGCGTGCTCACGATCGAATCGAACAACTTGGACGGTATCAAGGCAAGCTCGATGGTAGCTTTGTGCAGAGATGGCAATCCCAGCGAAGGTTTACCGCAGTTGCAGCTGTTTCTGCGTAACCTGCTGCTTGTTGAACCGAAGAACACAGTCTTGCTGATTGAGAACTTGCGACTGTTCTCTGATGTTGCATTCCAAGACCATGGGATTCTGTTAGAATTGGCACGGACAGCCGAGAAAATGCTACAAGCGACATCGTCGAGCAGCGCAGAATTGATGGCAGAGCTGGGTAACCTGTATGCCGCGCTAGGCAATGTTAAGGATGCCGAGCGTTGGTACAAGAACACTATCCGCACTGATCCATCCTCTTTTGTGGCACTTTTGGGACTGGCACATTGTCAGTTGCTGCAGGGATCTGCGGAGGACCTGGATCAGGCACGGCAACAGGTGAATGAACCGCTGCTATTAGCAAAAAAAATAGCTTTGCAATTGTTGTAAAATTCTTTAATATGATTGATCTTAGTTCTTAGTTCTTCTCTGGATCTACAAATCTAAATGTATAAATCGATAACATAGAATTTTACAACAATGCAAAGCTACTTTTTCTGCACACTTGAACAAATATATATGTGTGTGTGTGTGTGTATGTGTGTGTATATATATATATATACACACTCTTCTCTTCTAAAGAATAATCTCTAGACATGTCAGTTGAAGTGCTTGATTGAGCTGGTATTACAGAAATTTCTTGCGTGTTGCATTCCAGGTGGAGATCATGATGGAGATACAGCCAAATTCGACAAATGTCCAATTACTGTTTATGTCCGCAAAGATCACTTCCAAAGAAAACAGCATTAAGGCACTCGGTCACTTGGACACGGCGGCAAATATCTTGTTGAAGAACTGCGAGGGCTTTCCCTATGGTTACGAGTATCTTAGCGAGCTTAAGCCAGGATTATGCCTTGAAATTGCAAAGCAACGTTTGATGCATTCTTTGAATAAGTCCCCAATGAGCGACGAGGTAGCTATTTCTTAAGGAAGTCGATAAAAACGATTACATTTTAATTTTTATTTATTATTTAATTATGACATTAGAAACAAAAAAATTGTATCTATCATTCTGTTCTGTTTTTTAAGCTGGGTAGTGCAGTGGAGAAGGAACCGAGTATCCGCTTGTTGGAACGACTAGTGGAAGCTTGTCCAGGTTCCAGTGTAGCTACATTACTGCTCAGCAAAGCCAGAATGCAAAGTGGCGACTACGAGGGTGCGCTGATCTTGCTCAAGAGATTACTGGATACGGTAGAACCATCCAATGCGCAAGCCCATCTCTTAATGGCTCAGATTTTGGCATATCAGGGCAAGTACCAGCTTGCTTCGCAGAACCTGGAGGTTGGTCTAAGCTACAACTTCAAAATCCGAGACGAGCCAATCTATCATTTAATCATCGGCATGGTGCAACGAGAGGCTGGTGATCTGCTGAACTGTGTTAAGAGCTGTCAGACAGCCATGTCGCTGGCAGGCTTGACTGGCAGCGCTAATAGAAAATCCGATATGTCTACATCAGACCAAGCGACATTGTATTTAGAGTTGATTGCGGCATATAGCAAGGCAAGAAGGTTTGCTGAAGCACTGGCACTTATCGATGAGGCGAAAACAAATCTTGCCGGCACCATTGAACTTGGAAGAATTACTATCGGCACTGCTGAGGTCTATTTAGATATTGGAGAACTGGAGAACGCTATCAGCTGCTTGCGGAACATTCATCCAGGACAACCATACTACTTGCAGGCACACACCAGATTAGCCGAAATAAATTTGAACTATAAGAAAGATCGCCAGGCGTTTGCTAAATGTTTCAGGTACAAAGAATTTAATCTTCATCATCATTATTTTTTTTATTAGTTTTTATATTTATTGGACATATTTATGTGGAATCTTGGAATGAATATTATTATCGCTGATATTTATCTTTTAGAGAATTGGTGGAACATTGTCCTGGACCAAAGACGTACAGCATGCTGGGTAATGCTTACATGTCCATACAAGAACCAGAGAGAGCGATAGAAGCATACGAGCAAGCGCTTTCACAAAATCCAATCAACAAGGCGGATATTGCAAACAAAATGGGCAAAGCGCTTGTCAAAGCGCATCAATATGTGAAAGCGATCAGTTATTACAAAGATATAGTGAAGCAGGATAATTGCGCCGCTCTAAAGTTAGATCTGGCCAAGTTGTATATGAAGATGAAACAGTATGACAAGGCAGAAGCCACTTTGGTGCAAGAGCTACAAGGTAAATTTATTTTAAAATTAATATTAAATATGAAATTATTACTTAATAATATTTATATTTCTAATAATGTTAAGTAAAAAAATTTCTATTTTTTATCATCATATTATACTAGATAGATATTTATTATAATATTATTATATCTATTTTCTTCTTTATTTAGACAAACGAGGCGAGTCCGATATTCTAAATTTGGAGATGCGAGGACAAGAATTGCTATTGCTCGCCAAAGTGCGTGAAAAGTCAGGCAACATCAGGGGCGCGTTGGCAACTTTAAAGGAAGCCAAGGAGAATCAACATAGATACATCCAGCGTCTTCCGGCCGTTTCGCCGGATGTTGCAGATCAGAAACATATGCTGGCAAATATCTGTCTGACGATGGCTGATTATGCGTCAACCTTACGCAACTATGATGAAGCCATAGTATATTATAAAGAGGCACTGGCTCATAAGCCCACAGATGTGAATGCCCTACTTTCTTTGGCGAAGCTATACATGCAGGTGAATAATACATATAGAATCTGTAAAAAAAACTAAAAATCCCAACACTGATTCCATCTTGATTTCTGATGGAAATATTAATAGAATAACCCACGAAATAAATCTTTGACTCTGATTTATTAAATGGTTACAAAAAATCCTGATTTCATATATTAATATGAAATATGAATATGTATTTATTAGATGAACAACTTGGATCGGTGCGCGCAGAATTGTTCAATCTTACTGAACGCCGATCCTAACAACGAGGCTGCATCCGTAATGATGGCAGATCTCGCATTTCGGAAGGTAGATTTCGATACCGCGGCATTCCATTTTCGACAGTTGCTGTTACGTCAACCCACCTATTGGACTGCCCTGGCGAGACTGATAGAAGTGTCGCGCAGAACAGGTTTCGCATTTGTCAAATTTTTCACTCTTGCTTGGGATATTTTGACTAGGAATTGATTTATATATATATATATGTAATATTGATATATTATAATTTGCGTCATAGGTGCTATGGATGATCTCGATGAATGGCTGCAACGCGCGCAGATTGCGATGAGTACCGGCAATGTCGAAGCTGGCTTCTACTACTGCGCCGGATTGCTGGATTGGAGGACGGGTAAACTGAACTCCGCTCTTCGCAACTTCAATTTTGCACGACGTGATCCGGAATGGGGCCAGCAGGCGATCTACAATATGATTGAGATCTGTCTGGATCCAGATGATGACACTACTTTATCGAACGAGGCCTTCAACGACGATGACACTGAATATCAAGATTCAAGAACGATGGCTTTGAGGACGGCTTACCGATTGCTACAGGTATAATTCATATCAATGATTGCGTTCGGTTTGGACACTCACGCGCTGTAAGTTTCATTTTATCTTTCTCTCACAAATAATAAGTGACAATAGAATGAGTGTTCAAACAAAACGTAGCTAATGTCAGTTTTTAATACTTACATGTGACTCAATTTGATCCAATTTTTGTTTCATTTGTATCTACTGAGAGTAACAAAAATTTTTACATTTCAGTTGTCTTATTGATTCAAATAAAAAATATATTGTAGGAATTGAATCCCAAAGGCAGTCCTCATGAAGAACTGACCCACAAGCTTCTCAGCAATTTCTTCTTATTGGCCACCAAGCAGAAGTCTAACATTGAGAAAGCCTTGCAGGACTGTACTGCGTTGGCCAGTCAGGAGACTTTGAGAGATCATGTAGGACCCGCTCTCGGTATGGCCACCGCACACATCCTGTTGAAGCAAACGCCGCGCGCCCGGAATCATCTGAAGCGCGTTAGCAAGAATGTTTGGACGTTCGAGGACGCTGAGTATTTGGAGCGTTGCTGGCTGCTACTGGCGGACATCTATGTACAATCCAGCAAGTACGAACTGGCGAATGAACTGCTGAGGCGAGTGCTACAGCACAACGCTACCTGCGTGCGGGCCCACGAGCTTTCCGGTTAGATTACAATTTAAAATATTATACAGAATAATTAATACATAAAATATTAAATCGCATTTCAATCGCTGAGCTGAGTTCTATTGCAAAATATTCTTCATCCAAAGGCTTAAAATTTATAATAGGCTTAAGGGTATCTTCATTTTCAGGCTACATCGCTGAAAAAGATCAGAATTATCGTGAGGCGGCAGCGAGATACGGTCAGGCTTGGAAATGCGGCGGCAAAACGAAATTATCGGTGGGCTATAAGCTGGCTTATTGTTGTCTGAAGGCGAAAGTCTATGCTGACGCGATCGAAGCATGTAACGAAGTATTGAAGCAGAATACGGATTATCCGAGGATCAGAAAAGACATTTTGGAAAAGTGTATTAATAATCTTCGCACATGAGCATCTGGATTCGTTCGAGCTTGATACATTGATCAATGATTTACTTGTTATGTTACACATTGTATACACATTCGTCCTCTCTTGTTATTAATAAAGATATATAATATATATCATTTTAAACTGTTTAGAACAAATAAATATTTACATAACCACTCAATCAATATTTCTGAAACATTTAGCAGGTTGTAATATTCGATGTTATAATCGATAGTTTATTCGCTAGCAAAATATACGATCCATTAAAGTTGCTTAACGCGAAACGGACGAAATCAACCAGATGATGCAATCACTAAAATTGACAATTATTAATTAACGATTAATGCAGTGATGATTAATTGGCTATGATTATCTTGATATTGAAATCTATCCAGCTTAACATCTGGCTTATTATCTTGATTATCTTGCCATTATCTGCAGCTAACGGAATTTTATATCTTCGGATATAACGATTATTCTACCTTCTTCTGCGAAGTTGACTTATGAACAATTATTGAAACACGATTAATTAACGGCTTAACATCTTGACGAGCAAGATTTACAGATCCAGGTACATAATTTGCGTGGCCGAAGCTGCGCCGCACATCGCCAGGATACTGGCAACGTAAACCACCGCTGCGGTAGTGCCCGTGAAGCTGACGATCGTGCCCAAGCAACAGGACAGCAGGAACTGTGCGAGAAATACCATGGAGGAGACGATGGCGACATCGGTCCCCAGGCCGCGCACGAAACCGCCGGAAATTGTATCGCCCGCAGTCGTCAGGTCGAAAGTCGAAGACGCGTGGTAGTGCGCCACAAGTAGATAGGGCATGGTGAACAATGTAGAATACATGACGCCAGCGGTCCATGAGAAGAGGATAACGCCAGCTGGATGCTTCGTCAGAGCCATCAGAAGCATACCGACGCTATAGAAGAGCAGTCCGTACATGTAAACCTAGATGGGCATAAATATTTAATGGACTGTAAAACTAATTACATATAATTTCAATTCAAAAGTTTATAATATATTTATTAAAATATTTTCTAGTCTTTACAGTGAACTGATAATCAAAAGATTTTAAATATAAACAGTTTAGAATATAAATATATTTTGTATCTTAAAATTCTAATGGATAATGTTCTATACTAGAAAGTGCTTAATTTGTAAATACATCTTTTAAAAAGAATTGGATACAAATTGATCACAACATTAAATTAAGTGGTATGATACTGATGATTAAGCGTAACGAATTTCTTACTTTACGCGCTCGGAAACGCTTGATCAGCCGCTCGATGATCAGCGAATAGCACGAGCAGGACAACGAGTACATGGACATGCCCCAGCATCCAAATCGCACACCCTCCTCGTAAAGCTCACGCTCGTCGGTGTCCACGGGTGCCCGCGGATTCCCACCGAACACTGCCTCGCCTACGAAGTCCGTGAAGTATAGGGAATAGCAGACGTGCGCCATCCAGCAGAATAGATTCGTCAGGCACACCTGGCGAAGACTGCGTGGCATGTAAATGATGGACAGCAGGTACTCCTTCAAAGATGCCGTGTGGTTTACTTCACCCTCGACATCATCGAAGCCGTAATTGATGTGACTGCCTTCGGAGATTGGTTCTTCGGAACAGTCGGAAAGTTGCGTCTGGAGCGAACGGAGGACGAATTCCTTGATTGATAATTTTATACTGATGTTTATTAATAATTTTTCTTTATCAAATATATTCCTATTTATTTTTCAGTTCCACGCTTACAATGCTTAGGCAGTTAAACACTTGTCACTTCGGTCAAATTACGAAATCGCAGCTAAAATGAGAATTCTAAGTGAAAAATGCTATTGGATTACATGTCAAGATAAAAACGATTTCTAAACTTACTTCCGTTTTCGAGGGATCTGTTTCGCGCTCAACATCAAAGGCGCCGTATGTTTTTGACTCGTCAGGGATGATTTTTTCACGTTCCTCTTGTTTCTTCTCTATTCCTTGGTTTTCTTCTGGCGCCTAATACAAAAGAAATATTGGTTTATTAAATGACTCTGTATGAAAAAATATTTTATAATATTTTTAGAAATAACTTATAATATTTTTAGAAATATGTGAAGAATCCAAGCTCGTCATATATAAAAATCAGATGTAAAAAAAATAAAGAATAAAATTATACAAAAATTTTGAAAAATATGAAGCACTTTATTGCCAGAAGAGAAATAAAAATGATAGCAATATATAAGCGAAGTTCACCTTCGGCTCACTCATTTTTCGACACTGATCTCGTTCGAGTAGTTCAAGAGGAATCTCTTTGAAGCTGGTAATGGTACATATGACACAGATGATAAAGATGATCGTGATGAGAGTGAAGGTCACGTGCAGATGTCCGCCCAGCATAACACCGAGCGACGTGGCGTCCCAATTGATGCCGCCTAAACCGTAGCCCATGAATCCCCCCAATCCTGCCATTATGGTGAACGTGCTTAGGCCTTTAGCATGATCCTCTGAGAAAACGTTAATCAAATAGAAAAATCGACTTTGGTATTATTAAAATCAAATTGTATAATTAATTCTTGTTTTTTCACATTCAACATTTGCATTCGTATTTAAAAAGATTGAATTTTATTTCTTTATAGTTTTTTACAATGTTTTAAGATAGGTATGTGCGTGTTAGTAGTATTATTCAAATAAATGATTAATATATTCAAAATTTATGAATTATTTCAGTTGCAAATCTGTTTGTAATCGGCGCATAGTTTATATAAATGAAAAAGAAATTTAAAATTCACATGAAAACGATAAGTCTGTTTTTTAGAGCTGAAATAGTGTACATTTTTTTTTACTCACCAGGTACAGTGACATCGAGAAGATACGCCCTCGCTGGACTTTGACAGCCGTCAGCGTCGAAATCGAGCAACACCGTGCCGAGAATAGTGAAAAAGATGCCCCAGGAGTGCGAAGAAGCCCTTTCGACGGATCCGGGTATTACCTCCTTGGGTAACTTCGCCGTTGTGCGATGTCCGAGTGGGATCGTTTCGTTCGTATGGACCGAAGTATCGCCGAAGACATAGCCGATGTGTTCACCATTTGGCACCAAGATGAGACCTGCAAAAATGCAAAAGTTCACTCGCCTCTTTTGATGCTCAAATATATACTACAGAAATGTTAAAACTGTAGATAAAAATAGGCAATTGAATGAAAGAAAATGAAAAATATCCATATTACTTAAAATGAAGAGAAGAAGCTTGTGACTTACCTATAAAAACTCCGAGAGCCAATAAAAGAATGAAGGGCCGCCTCCTGCCGTATTTGAGTTTACAACGATCGCTCATGCTGCCAAGAATGGGTGTCACGAAGAAGCCCACAAGGGGACTCAATGCCCACACCAGCGTCATGTGCTGGTGATCGACGCCGATCTTGAGTAACGTCGGCGAGACGAAAGCCGTCTCCGCCGCGTATGAGAACTCTATCCCCATAACAGCTGCTGAAACTCTTACCAGTTCGGCGCGGGTCTTCTTTCTGAAATTATTAGCAATAACAAATAAAAAAAAAGAAAACTAATATTTATATATATTTAGTACAATATTACAATATATTTTATTAAATGTGAATATAAATATTACTACTTTTAAAAAGTGCTCCAATTTGTACAAAAGATCTGAGAAATTTTCTAAGTTACAAAATTATACACAAATTCTGAAAAATGATGCGTGTGTGTGTGTGTGTATATAAATTCTAAAAAATTATATGAAGAATTCTAAGCAAAATTTCACTAGGAAATATACTGATAAAATATACTGATATATATATTCATAGTTGATTAAACGTTGAATTTTTCACCTATAAATGTGGGAATAATCGTCCAAAGTACGCTCTAATTTGGGCGGTCCCCGTAAATGATGTCTCAGCCCATCTAGGCCTTGATTCAGATTCAAACCATTTTTCCAATCTTTCCACACACTCCATCGTTCCTTGATGGTGTCGCGAACACCATGAATTCTGCCCATGAGTCCTTCGTACTCGTGCAATTTGTCTACCATGGTCGATCCTTATCTCGCACGACACAGGATAAACGATGTGATGATGGAATACTCGAATGTATTGAGGTGCATCATTATTCAAAAAAGTAACACTGATTGAACCGTGATTTCCATATCTTTTTCTCGCAATCTATAAGCGCGTCAACTATAAAAAATATTATTATCAATCACAGATGTCTTCATTAAAAATAATTTCAATTGAAAACATAATTTACATTTTTAAAACCAGTTACATAATTCAATCATAAAAGTTTCACGTTAGCTTTCTATTTATTTCAATAAATAGGAAATAAATCAGCAATAAAATAAATAAAAACGTAATTTTAATCTTTTATTGACCAACCATAATTTCATCATTTTATTTCTATCACAATGCGTGTGTGTAAAGTAGATTAATCTTCTTGAATTAAGAATCTCCACATCGCATTTTCCGTCGCGTCACAACTTAATTAAATATGAGTAATCCAAGCAATAAAAAACGTCACCAAGAATTTTTAATCTCAAGCTTTTAGATTGTTGACAGGATTTTGGCAGAAATACGAGTCATTTGCGAGTCGGCTGGACCACATCGCGACTCGCGCGAGAAAGCGCGGACGCAGACGGACGACGGATGACTGATCGCCAAGCGAGCACCCCGCTGCAAGCTCGCCGCTCGGAAGCAAGAAAGCTCGAGAAATGCCCGCGCAATCTCAGGAGAAGCAATCACAATATCTTTTGTCGAACGCTGATTCTTAACTCACCGAAATGAGCTATGATGCGATCAGTTCATTGCCCATGAACTCTTCTAATTAACGTGCCAAGAATCTCTTCAGTTTCAAGGACGATCGAGTCGAAATATAGGTCGACATTTAAATTTGCAATTCGGAGTTGCTTCGTGAATTCGACCTGCTTAAAGAAGAAAAAGAGGATTACGTGTGTTGTGTAATTATTTTAAAATTATACAGTAAAAAAATATTTTGTGTTTATTTTAAAAACAGTTTACTCAAGTCTTTTTTAAAGTTTTGTGTTAACTTTTGAACATATTGTTAACATATTAAATGTTAGAATATTACTTTCTAACGTACCTTGAATTAAATTAACACAAAAAAATTTGAGTGGATCATTTGGGACATTTGAAATGCTTTAATTAAATTTAACACAAATTTTCCAAATGTATATCACGAAACAGTTTTATTCTGTAATATCTAAAAAATAATTTTGATGGACTATCAAAATAATTATGTAGAAAACTCAAACATAATTAGATGCTGGACAAAAAGTTTTGACACTCAAGTATTCAATTGGAGCATCCTATATAATTATTTTGATACTCCACAATTATGTTCAGATTTATATCTAACTTTTAAATTCTTAGATATTTTAACAAAATCTTCTTTTTATACATGATGTAGAAATATGATTCTCTTACAATTGAAAAGAAATATCCCTCGCAATCAGTATAGCATAGCAAGGCGATGATTTCATCTCGATGTGAACAAATCTTGAGAAACTCGTTGGATCCTGTTGCATTTTTCTTTACAGTAATGGCAGGAGGTTTACGCAATGTCCAATAAGAGAGGAACGTTTCGCTCTTTCTCTCTTGGTACACACAATCCGATTACTACGTATATACCAGTAAATATGTCTCGGTAAATCGAGCAAACACGGACATCTATTCATTTCGCTCTCTGTCTATCTCTCTCTCTCTCTCTCTCTCTCTCTCTCTCTCTCGCCTGCTCTCTTTTTATTTTGCACTATCCTGATTAAATAAATAAATAAATTACAAGGAGAAACAATGATACGAATAAGGAAATAAATAAGTTTTATAGGGACAAAAGATCGATCAATACATCGTTTATCGACGCTAACACGCAGCTTCGACCAAGGCCATTCACGTAATGAAAGCTTCGTTGTAGGTCTTCACGGCCGTTGATGTTCAATGCCCGATGTTATAGGCGAAGCTTTAATAATCATCCTTCTAAATTCTCTTTGAAATATCGAACATTATAAGATTGAATCTTCACACCTACACAATTGGGATATTAAATTTAACACACTTCGTATTATGTCCCAAATAGTCCACTAAAATTCTTAATTTAACATAAAATAAATATATTTGTGTTTACACACAATTTTTAAGTAAATTATGGAAGCATATTTCTTCAAATCAGCTAAGTTTATTAAAAACAATTTTTTTCAAATGCTTGCTATAAATTTTGTCGACAAAGGACATCAAATTGCAAATGCTGTTATATTTAATGACATCAGCAAATTGGTGGCAAATATAACAAAATTGACTAATAAAACAACAAATTATCAGCAAAATCGTGGAAAGCTTGCTGATAATCTGACAGCAAATTGATAGCAAGAACCGACCAAAACCGATGAAAGCTTCGATCAGTTTTTGCCAACAATTTGTTCTCATTTTATATCAGCAAGCTTTATCGGGTTAATATGGAAACAGTTGATATCAATTTGCTGAATATTTTGATTGAATTTGCCAGTAATTTGTAAATTAATCGCTAACATTTTGCTGACTGTATTAAATTCATACATTTTATTCAATATAATTAACATTTATAATATATGTTATATTTACCAAGAAACACAAAAAATATCAATTTAACACAATCACATTGTGTGTGTGTATTAAATTTACATTTGGAAAATTCATATAAAAGTTCATTTTAAGAATTTTATAACAAAGCCAGCTTTAGCATAAATATAAAACATTTTTATGTGGAAGATTCTCAAATCCTTTTTTTATCTTTACATGTGTAAAAAAATGTTCTTAATATATCAAACAAACGCGATATCTTACTTGTAACTTCTTTATTTACGAATATAGTCTCTTCTTTTTTAAAAGTTGTTGAACTAAAAAGTCGTACTAAAAACGAAAGTCTTTTTGCAGAGAGAAAATAATGTAATGCAACGTTCAACGTCGATAAAAAAATACAAAGAAAATTTTAGAATCTGAAATGGATGAGGATCTCGCTTTCTTCGCTCCTTTGGATTTTATTCTTGGACTTCAAATCATCAAACATTACAAAACGTCGAGAATCAATCCACATTTTCCCGTCCTCGGAAGTAATACACTTCCAAGATGCAAGTTTATTTCTCCGAAGGACGATGGGAAGCCGATTGAAACCGCCCTCTCTCGTCTCCGGCCTTTTAAAAGAACGTGGACGAATGCGGCAGGATACAATTTCCTCGCAGGAAATTACGTCCACGAGAATCCGCGCATCAGAGGAGCATTTCGTTAACGTGCGGTGACTATTTTCTACACGCTTTTAAACCGCAGGGGATCAATATTCATTGTCGTCACCATTGCCATTAATGTCGCCGACGATGTTAAATACTCGAGGGGATGCACTATCGCTGATGAGTTGCCAAGGGAAAGGTATCGCGACGGAGAAAGGAGGGGAATACTGTATCGTGGTCGGAAATGAGTTCGAAATTGTAATGAGATCCAAAGATTCTGAAGAAAGACGAAATGTCGTGATTCTGAGAGTCCGATTATGATCTGAAAATCCGGCGAAATGGACATTAATGGACGGACGGAAGAGGTGCTTTACGGAGCGCATATATTTACCTGCCGTGTCGATTTGGCAGACGTCAATAGAGTTACAATTAATTATAGTTTTCGCTTGAACCTTACTTGTTCTAATTAAGGCATCCCGGGTGTGTCGATACGCGCCAATCGCTTCCGCAGGGCCGACGTGAGAAAACAGATCGAACATCTTTAAGTTTTTATTTATTATTGAAAATGACAATTAGATTATATTTATCTGTTTATGTGTTCAATTTATTGAGAAGAATAATCGATCAAATTATAAAATATATACAGAGTATTCTAGCTAACGAGACTTTTATCTTTACAGGATAAAGTCAAATAAAAATTATACATATTATTTATACATATTATATACTTTATACATTTATATGTATTTTTATTTACAGCTTTATTACTTGAAATTAAACTAAATAAGTGCATAATTTCCAAATAATATTAGATCGCGCACTTCTTTTAGAAAGTTAACTATTATTGGTTTCAATTTACATCTAAAAGAGAAATTTTCCAATTCTTTTATAAAAAAAAACTTGATAAAAAAGAAAAGTATAAAATCATAGCACAAGATATTCTTTGTGACATTTAATATATAATTACATTAATAAATTTAGACGTTTCGGCCACAATCTGGCCATCTTCAGTAAAAATTACAAATATCCATAAAGCACAAATTTTATATAAATCTGACATTAAATTCATCGGTCTTTTATAAAACTTGGAATCTTTATCCAGAGCCTAAATAGACGAACCTTTTCCATTATCTTGAGCTCTATAGTGCGATTATCTTGATATGTGCGTTTATTATCGAAGAACCTATCGTGGCGCTGAAGAACCTACAGTCGACCCTGCGCGTTCCTTTGCTATTGGCCCATATTCGTCTAAATATCGCGTCGTACCCGAAGCAGTTAGAGTCGCGGCCACCGAAAGTAGTGAATGACGAGACTGCTGTCACCCACGAGGAAACATCGCGTCCATTCGTCGATTCGACGTATCTCATTCTGATTCTGAAGAGCTTCCGCGCGTTTCTGCTTCAGCACCATTTCTCTAAAGAGGGTGAGAAATGTATTTACATTTGCCTCTTCATTTGTACACAATTTAAATTTGGTATAAAAATAACAATTACAAGTATTCAATCACAAGCAATTTGAAAGATAATTCAACATTTTGTTGGACAATATAATTCCATAATAGAATGACAAGCAACCCAATAAATAACTAACATTAATATTATAATTTCCTTCTAAACAATATAAATGTAATATAACACATATACGTAACAGTTACATTGTTGAATATAGAAAATTATAACATTGCTGTTATGTTACTGTTAATTGATAGTTTTTTTACTATCAATTAAATAAAGTGTTGCTTTAAATTAAATCACTAAGAATATAACAATACCAAAATTAGCATACGGAAAAAAATGGTTTTGTTAAAGTATTTAAAAATTTAGTTAGCTAGTATAAGTCTGAAATGATTTAGTTGACCCAATTAAAACAATTATATAAAATGTACGAACACATTTTAAATCTGTCAGGACAACAGTGCACTTGTATATAGCTAAATAAGAACAAATTTTACTAAATTATATCTAAATTAAGTTATTTTTTAAATACTGTTTTTATTGTTAACATACAAGATTTTTATATCATTGACATTTCTCAGCGATGTTTCGATGGAGATGCTTAATCATTCTGGCATCATCCAACTGGTTACGTTTTATATAAAAGGATTATTAACTCAGAGAGAAATATTTCTGGTACAAAATACATAAGGAATAACATATACACTTAATGCATCTATTTCGTTGAACAATCTTAGTATGTACTGAAGATGGTTAAAAAGTTAGCCGAAACATGTATAATTAAAGTATTGTAATTGTTCTTCCCAATAGTCATTAATTTATCACTAGATTATAATTTATATAGAATGCTCGTGCTTACTCATCATGATTGAATGTTCTACATATTCATCTTGATAGTCTCACAAAATTATTTTTAAATCTAGCTAAATTTTTAGCTACTTCAGCAAAACCGCTTTTTTCTCGTGCACACAATATATTGTGATATCGAAAGATATTGTATTACAACACGACATCTATTGTGATACCAGAGGATCAACGTCAAAAGAAATACAATAAGAGCTTACCAAAGAAATCAATAATATGACAATTGAATCAGATCGGATTGAAAAGAACTGATCTTTTTTAATCCTGAGTGCCAACAATCTCATGATTCCTCTTTTATGAGGACAATGATCCCAGTAGCTGGGATTCTATATGTATTTTTTCGAAATTATTCATCGCAATTAGTAATCGATGGGATTAATCAATCATTAATGAATAAAAGAGTTCTTGCCGCATTATTATCTTTTGCAGCCGATTAAGTCTAGACGATCGCAATCACGACATCCATCTACGTCGGTAATATATCGTCGATGAATATATCTTCGATTGGCACTTTAAATACCTATAAATATAATTATTATCAGACATATAAAAGTGTACATAAATACAGACACGCCATTCTTAAAACAATAAATATCACATACGTTACGTCATCCTCTCCAGGAGATTATAATTTAGAGGTAAATGAATCTGAAGTAAATTACACGATTCGCATTTTAAAAGTCAAATTGATGATACTACATTGAAAGAAATTTTGATTATTAAATTTTAATGAATAATTATTTCAATAGTATAACGTTTATTTACGGAGAATAAATATTTGCTAAATAAAAAACGTAATAATTAAATTAATGTATTCTTGTATCAAATAAATATATGTTTACATTTATTAAATATTCAATTGATAATATTCAAATAAACATTCATTAAAATTTAGTGTATTTTTCTTTCATTATAAAAGAATACTAGGAGATAGAAATGTTTAAGTATATCATTTTATTTTTAACTGGATTTAGATAGTATAATGTTTTGTCAAAAATACTGTCTTCTTTAATGATTTTTTAAATTATTCAAATACATTTAATTTTTGCCTAATTACTTGTTTAACGACTTTGGAAGAGAAATATAATTTACATATAAATAAGTCGATATACGTCTTCATGCCCTTTATTTTTGGACTTCATTCTTGATCGAAAATTGTATACATGTTGTCAGCGAGTCTATAATGGGTTTGTCAAGATTAAATCAATCGATTCTTTTTAATCGGAATAAAATGCCTCAGATAATACAGTCTTGATCAAAAATATTAGGTACCTTATAACTTTATTATTTAAAGTTTTCCCAAGCAACGAAAAGTGTCTAAAATCAGGTCATAAGCGTTTAAAGACGACGACTTGAAGACATCTTATGTCAATTTTAGATTTTGTATTGTTTGAATTAGCTCAAAATGATTGATTTACGGCATTTGCTGTAAATTATCCTTTGTTTCACGAGCCCTAAAAAACTATAATGTCAGTAATCAACAGATGTCAAAGCAAATAAAAGAATTATAGAAAAATAAAAAAATATAAGCACCTAATATTTTTGACTAAGACTATAAATGACTCAAACATTCGTAAAAAAATCGAAATTAACGATTCAAAAAAATCCTTTTTAGATAAACTTCCATGTAAAAGACAAAATTATTCACTCGCAATTTTGGCATAACATATTGATTTCGAATCCATTAATGAATTGATTAAAATATCATGATAATATGATATGAGAATTTTTTTACGAGAGCTGAATTAAAGAATATAGTGTGATATCAGGAACATCGGAAATAAAAGGAGACGATGACTTCAATTGAATTACGTTCAATTTGAAATAGAAATTTTATCACGATTACATCTATTCTAAAATCTTTCGATCTGATCTTTCTGAAATCTTAATCGATCTAATTACGAGGCTATATACACACTTAAAATTTTTTCGGCCTAATGTGAACGCGTTATCATTTGTACAAATAACATCAGTTGCACATTAAACTGATCTTGTCAGGCGATTAGCTGACGCTTTTACTTTCCGTAATCAGAATTACCCACAATTATTTTGTACTTGTGGGATGACAATGCTGATGAATCGTCGTTTTCGTAAGCCTTATCACGTGGAAAATTTGAACAAAACAAGAGATTAAATCACATAGATGATGAATAGGCACAAGTAGACTACCTCTACACTTCCCTATTAGCTGTAAGCGATTGTCAGATAGTATCGTTCGCGAAGGTTCTGTTTGCCAAGAGAGAAGCGTGACAGACAAATAATACGTAAGAAATAGGGAAGAGGCACCTTTCATGTGCTACTGTTTTATGATATTTAATGTCACGCTGGCGTTTCACAAATACGATCGCGAGTTATACGTTCTTCAAACATGATGCTTCAAATGTTTCGAAAATATATATTACAATTAATAAATATAATTAGATTATTAATGCAAAAGATCTGTCAAATAAAATATGCCAAGTAAAATTGAAAACAAATTCACAGCGAAGCGAAAGTGCGTTTGAGACTTTTCTTTATCTAGATAGGAATTTTTCAATTACTTCTATTCTAATTTTATTTAAATAAAGTTTGAAGAGAAAATTCTCCTGCATCCCTCAATTTAATATTTAACTCGTAAAAATTTTGTAATGTCAATATAAATAAGTTAATGTGTCAATATAAAGAAGGCTATATTCAGATAAAGTGAGTCTGGGTATCTAATATTTTGTATAAATTTTACAATTTCCACTTCAATCTATTTATGATACTAAATTATATTGATGACAAACGTGAGAAACGCGATACATAAAGAAAAACATATACTGTAATAATTACTTGTTTTAAATATTTCAAAAGTTTGTAAAGCCGCAAATCTATCATAAGCATTAAATTTATTCAAAATATATTTTGAATCTTTAAAAATCCTTCAATCAAAATTATTAAAACAAATTCCATTTACTTATTATATAAAGTCCGCTTCTTTGATTAATTTTATACAATAATATACTCCAAAAAAATTTTTGTTTTGAGTACCTAATAATGAGCAGGGTTAAATAAGTTAACTTTTTTTTTAACTAAGTTAAAGTTAACAACTTGTAAAATTTAACTTAGTAAAGATAAAAGTTAATCCATAGTGACATTAATTGAATTAAAAGTTAAATTAATAAAAAAGGTCCCAGATAAGCCAAGTCTGTAGAAAGTAGATTTTTTAAATGTCTTCTATACACTAACTGTCAATAAAGTAACAACAGAATTAGATGTACATAATACTGTTGATAGACAGTTAGAAAAAATGTAACAAAATCTGCAAGCATCAGATAATGTCGGCAGGATCTGCTTAGTTTCTGCCAACAATTTGTCTTCACATTGTATCGACAGGCGATGTTAACAGAACTAATGCGGACGCAGTTGATGGCAGATTGCCATCATTTTCTGCTCAAACCTGCTGATAGTCTGCTAGAAGATCTGCTGATAGACTGCAGACATTTGCTATCTGAGGTAATTTAAAAGTAAAAGATTAAATTTGTTTTATTTCATGATTTTAAGTTAACTTTCTTTTTAACTAAATTAAAAAACTAAGTTAAAAAGTTAACTTTTTTAACTAACAAGGAGAGACTCACATATGTATTTTACGGATTTTGATCGGCTTTTGCGTGATTATTCTAGAACATCGAAAAATAATCTCTAAAGCGGTAAATTTCTGCGTATTTTTCAAAAAAAATAGTGATTTTAGATAATGACAACGGATCACTTTCAAACTTTTTATCCTTTGCTTAAACGTAAATGAAATATTTGGATTTATTTAAAATTAGAAAAACGTATCTCCGACAGAATGTATAAGCATATAATCCAAGTAGGGATCCGTATAACGCTTACTATCCAACTCTGATGGTAAATTAAAAAAAAAATCAAATAAGTTAATATAATAGTTACTGGTAAAATATAATTATGTAAAGTTAAAAAGTTAAGACTCTAAAATGTAACTAAATAAAGTTAAAATTAATTAACTTTTTAACTTAGCATTATCCAACCTTGATAATAATTTTTTCTAAAATTTGCAATAAGTATATTTTAAAATTATTATCAAGAAAATATTCTTTGTTAAAAATAATCGTTATTTAAAAGAAAGAAAATAAATTTTATCTGTGTTTCTTTATAATCACTTGTATTTCGTTAGGGTTTCATACCAATATCTTTTATTAATACTTCATTAAAAAGTTCATAAAATTACTTGCGAAATTTTAGATTTTCTTATGTGTTCTTTCTCAGCTATATTATACCGACATTTGTTACCATCGTATCTTCGAACAAATATTCGTACTACAGTTTCTACATATACGAGATATGACATATCTTTGACATCACAGATTTGTTGTGTGACGTATCTCGATGTATCATTAAATACTTGAAATCAGGAATTGTTATTATCTTCTATAAACGCGTAAGCAGTTGCATTTTCATGAATAGTGTACTTTTTTCTCTTCACAGTTTTATTTATCTGTTAATAAATTAATACATATCTTAAAGTTTTTTTCACACTGAATGATAGCGTCATCAGAATTTGTAGCACTTCAAAATTTTATCAAATTTTTATTAAAATTAATTTAATTGAGGGTGAATTAAAATAAAAACTTTTTGAACTAATTAGAATTATACAAATAGTCTAAAATTCAAAAGCTTGATAAAAATAAGTATGATCATGAATTAAAATTCATTGAAAGCTCCTAAATTGTACTTTTTGTTGTAAACTTTATTTAAAAAATTTTTATCTTATCAAATAAAACGCCATTTTTGACATATTTCATTCCAATTTACTCAAAATCCTGACATGCTACGCAATTTCTATGTCAATGACATCGTAATCAGCGCGAAATAATCTTCGAGGTACGCATATTATGACGTTTCGCAAAGAATTTGATATGAAACTGTGTAATGAATGTACTTGTGATTATCAACAGATGAATTAAGAAAGTAACTAAAAAAATTATTAGAAGTATTTTATATTGATTTTAATATTTACAGTTCTAAAAAATTGCTTTACAAAATGATAAATAAGGGCAATTTAAAATAATGAATAAAAATGCTAATAATTTATTACGTGATGATCGTCGAAAATATTCGTCGCAGATTTATTAACGTGCCTGATAAATAATATATTCATAATTCACGTACAATAATAAATTAATATGACAGGCAACTTTGGTACCATGTCTGATGCTGCAAATCTCTTATCTCTTATCATGACTGAAACTCGAGTAAATTAATGACGTAATAAAATATTGCGCGTATGACACAATTTCACGAAGGGGCACTATCTTGTAAAATTGCGACGAAATAATAGCGGTCAAACATATGTGCTTATCAACTTCCGCGTATTCGGATCATAAATTATGTGTTTACGTCAAAAATATAATAATTATTTTGTATCAAGACGTACAATCTTATTACATATGTATTCGAAATTTATCGCCGAAATTAAATATTAACAGAGAAATTTTTAGGAAAAACATACAATATTACTAAATATATTTATAGCAATTAAAAAAAATCAATACGTGTCATGATGCGATGAAAAATCCATGAAATTAAGATCCTTAACTTTTTTCAGTTTGAGAAATATAATAATTTATGTTCGTTCAATTGCTCGTTTAAATTAGCTCTATTGGAATTGTCAAAGCCTATTTTGGCCTATGTTAGCTTTTCTTCACGTTTTGTTTCAATTGTTTAAATTATCATGAAGTCTTTTTTCATACCTTTAAATCTCTCACTTTTTTTCCTCTCGCGGATTTTATCATTTTGAGAAAAGCCGAAAGCTCCCCAGCCTCTTTTCTCATAGAGGCAGATGATATCTTATCTCGAATCAGCCTCAGACTTGCTCTGGAAGTCAAGGTGCGCGACGTCGTTCCATGGTCCATGATCATTCATCTGATCGCGATCGCGCAAGGAAGCAGCTACTTGTCGATCGTCCGTCTTTCTTTCCGTAGAGACGGGAACTCCGCGAAGAAAGAAATTTCGCGAATACTTATACTGGTACTGTCTTATCCGTCAATTGACGCCGTTTTCCCGAGGGGGTAGCCCACGTTAGGGGTGGAATTCACGATAGCGACGCCGACAGGATACCACCTTGGGTGTTCACAGTTCACCAATGAACGCGGGGCGTCGCCCTCGTCAAGAACAACATCGCGGTAACTGCAGCAGCAGCACCAGGAAGCGACGGCACTGCGACGGCACGTCCACGAAGGAGAACTTCCGGCGCGCGAACACCTGCAGAACGTCCAGCGATTTAAGCGGCGACCATGGGTGAGTTTCAATATATTTAAATAATGATTATTATTGTAAATAATATATTATCATAAATACTGTTGTATATCCTAAAAAATTAAAATTTTTCATACAACTTTTCAAAATTTTTATATTTTCAGAATTTCAGAATAATTTTATAACTTTTTAGAAAATTTTTCAAATTTTTGTTCCAAGCTCATTGGAACACTTTACAGAAATATCAAAGAAATTTATATCTTTAGAATTTTTCATATAATATTTAATTCTGGAACATTCTAAGACTTTTCATTCTGTAATTTCTGATAAAATATTATAAAATACGAAAAGATTTTTGGTATTCTTTCAGAAATTATAGAATGGGACGATTTTTATGTTAACAATTTTTAATTCAATTTATTAGATTAAAAATTTAGAATAATTTAATTGAAAAGTACTTACATTTTATTCTTCTTGTTGCAGGACTCGACTTCCTGGCAGACGGAGGTGCCGACTTCGAGCATGCAATCACCGTAACAGGCAAGGATTTGTGAAAAAATTATAGATCTAATAACCCAATTTCGATCAAACGTCCAAGTGCCTATTAATCTTGCAATTTAGTCACTGCCTAAAACACAAAAATTTTTTAACAATTCGTAAAAATTATTGAGATATAAAAGAAGAATATTTAAAGATACTAGAATTTTTGCGAGATCATTCATAAGATAATCCTTAATATTGCAATTATCCTTATTGAATTCAATGTGTGTTAGGTTTTGGAAGATTCCACTACATGCTGCTGACCCTCTGCGGTCTAATTTACATGGACACGGCGATCGGTGTGACAATACTTTCGTTCGTACTCCCAGCAGCACAATGCGACCTAGAGATGGACTCTACCGCAAAGGGTTGGCTGACTGCCTCTCCAATGCTAGGTCGATATTCCTTTCATCTTTCATTTGTTATGCTAATTTTATTTATCATAAGAAGAAAGTCATCTCAATTGAGATACTTTTGCAGGTATGTTAATTGGATCGTATATATGGGGATGCCTGGCTGATACGAAGGGCAGGAAGATCGTGTTAATAGCTACACTGCTAATGGACGGCGTCGTGGGCATCGTGTCTTCGTTCGTGCAATACTTCTGGGTGTTTTTGGTCTTCCGGTTTTTCAACGGCTTTGCGTAAGTATGATAGAATAGACTCTGATGAAGCCAAAAGTTAATCTTTGATTAATAGATTACGTGAGGTTGGTATGATAAACATTTACATCACAAAATTAGAATTATATTCTACGACCGAAATGGTTTAGTATCAAAGATATAAAGCTAAAGATAAAAAAAATTTCATTTTTTTTCACAAATTTCAAAAATCACTCGGGTTTTGATAAAACCCTTTCTATACATTTAATAAAGTTCATCAAAACCCGAATGATTTTCGAAATTAAAAAAAGAACATTTTTCTTTTAATACTCTGTGTTTTTGAAACTAAAACGTTTCGAAAATATAATAATCGAAAATAATCATATGAAGTTTTCGTCTTGAATTAAAATGCGAATCATTTAAAAATTTTTGAAATACTTAAAGACAAATCTATATAAAATGATTTTAATACTCAGTTAAAAGTTTTAATTATTACGCAGCGTAACCGGCGCCATGGGCATCTGCTTTCCGTATCTCGGTGAATTTCAACCCACGAAATACCGCGAACGCTGTCTCTGTTGGATGGAGATGTTCTGGACGGTCGGTGTGATAGTTCTACCGCGTAAGTACTCTTATAATCTACCTCTTAAGAGACAAGAGTTTGAGAAACTGGCATCCAAGTTGAATAATTTATAGTAATCGCCTGGCTAATCATCCCCATGGATTTCATTATCGTGAGCGACACGTTCTATTTCAAATCCTGGAATCTCTTTGTCGCGCTCTGTGCTCTGCCATCACTCATGCTTGGCTTGTGGCTGTTTACTTTTCCCGAGAGCCCAAAGTTCCTGCTGGAGTGTGGCGAAACTGATGCTGCCCTTGAGGTGTTCAAGTGGATTTACTCGCGAAACACTGGCGCTGATCCTGAAACTTATCCGGTACCATTGCTTTAATTTTCTCAATATAAAAATAATGAAAACTAATGATGTTAAACTCTCTTATGTGTATACTTTGCAAAATTAAAACATCACAAAAAATAAACACGCAAGAAAAAGTGACTTGCTTAAGTATCTAAATAATTAATTATTGTAATAGCTATAATAATAGATACAAATCTGAAAATGATTTTATTAAACTATCAAATAATTATATAAAATACTCAAATTGATTGCTAGAAATCATTCTAGAAATCAATTGCTCAAACATTCTATAAACATTTTTTATAACCTTGCTCATCATATTTGAACTTCCTACATTATTTCAATGACAAAATGTTTAAAAATAGGTATTTACCAAAATTTTATGTACTTCAGCAATTGATAATAATTAAGTGTTTGACAAATATGGAATATGTCTAATAAACATTAATGATAAAATAAATTAATTGTTACTATGTGTGACTCCAAAATACTTAATATTTTAAATTACATTAAAAATACGATTAAAAAGTGACTTTAAGTCCGTCATTTTCAATATTTAAAGAACATTTTTTGTGTTCTAAAAAAACAACAATTTTAAATTAAATATTCTACCTTATTTTTTCTTTTCTTTTTCCATTTAGGTGAAGTGCTTACAAGAGAAAGCGAAACATCAAGATAAAAGCACCAGGTCGCTGAAGCTACTCAAGCGAAAGGATCTAAAGGTTTTATTCGCGGAAATACGTGATCTGACGAGTGCGCTCTGCAAGCCGCCCTATTTACGCAATACCGCACTCGCCTGCATCATTCAATTCGGACTTACCAGTAGCTACTACACTTTGATGGTCTGGTTCCCAGAATTATTCACTAGGTAAATTTCATCATTAATCTACGCGCGTATCTTATCAGTTTTTCCAAGTTCTTAGACCTTTAGGAAAAAATTCTTTCGCATCATATCTACGACTAACAACAATTGATTTTAACATCTCGCATACTCTTTGAACTAACATGTCTTTGTCTTATCTCATGTGATCGTTAACATTATTATACGTAAGTTTTTATTGAATTGGTTTGATTTATGTTATAATGACTTATTCAACTTTATTAAATCACAATCAGATAATTTGAAATGTTAAATTTGAATATTTCGTTAGATACATCAGACAGCATTATTATCAATATGAATATATGTTAACGATACTCCAATTTGCTTCGCATCGCATCTTTTATATTAAATTTATACGTCACCGATTTTATTTTTATTTTTACACTAAGGACTCAATCGAAAGGGTTGAAACGTTTGTCAATTTTTCTCAAGAATAAGACTTACATCTATCTTTGGATTATTTATTTTTCGTTGTAGCCTATATATATTATACTTTGTAATTCTGGAAAAAGAGAATTTTTTTAGAACCTGATAGTTGTAAATTTGAAAGTACAAACAATATTTTGTTCCATTAAAAATAAATTTCTTTTTATATATTTTTTTGTTTCCTTTATTTCTTGCGCCGATAATTTCATTTAAACTCTCACTAGTCATTTTCTTACCTTTCTATATTCTTAGCTCCATCTTCTTTACTTCACGATTATGTAATTGCCATATTTCAGTAATAATCCACATAATCTTTGTATTGTTTTCAAGGTTCGAGCAGTTCGAGCACGCGAATCCTGGCGAGACGACATCGGTGTGTATAGTATCCGCCTTGTCAGATAATACGACCTTCTTCGACCCTTACGGATGCGACACGATAATTGCGCCCTCCGTCTATTTGCACACCGTATACATTGGCCTCGCGTGTATCCCTGGTTCGATCATCCTACCCCTTTTCGTGCACAAACTGGGCGCAAAGTTCTTTCTCAGTAAGTGATGGCATATCTTAAATAACTTGAAATACCTTTAAAAAAAAATGAAAAAAAAAACAAAGTGGAAGGATATGATAATTATCTAGATATAATTATATAGATACAATGAAATTCCAGTTATCATAACAAAACTAAATTAAATTCGAATAACTAAAGACTTAGATCTTTAAACATTCAATCAGATTTATTTTCATAATATCAAAATGACACAACTAAAAAAATTAAGTTTTCCAAAAAGGAGAAAAATTATTTTTTAACAGAAAATTGAAAAATAATAAAATAATATCTTCAAATAGCTTCAAATAAATGTATTCTTAACATGATCAACTGTTATTTTTGTTTCATGACTCTTAAAAAAACTATTCTTTTAGTTGTCATTATTTTGACAATTTTTTAAAAACCATTAATTGACATTTTGACGATTTTTTTATAAAGTTAAGTGTTCATTGCTGATAACTGATGGAGTAATATTTATCTAGCTCATTATATAACTTGAAAATCATGTTTTTTTACTTGTGTTTACTTGTGTCACTTTTGAAGTAAAAGATAACGATATATAATCAAACTTCAATTACATTCTAATAGAACTATACAAGATACTTGTACTTTCAGTCTTTTCGCTGGTGGTCTCCGGCGCAGTGACGGTTGGTTT